GCTAGGGCTTAGGGGTTAGGGTTTAGGGTTTAGGAATTAGGGTTCCAAGTTTAAAGTTTAAGATTTACTATTTAGGGTTTAGAGCTTATCATTTAGGGTTAAGGGTTTTGGGTTTAACGTTTAGGGTTTAGACTTTAGTGTTTAGGGTCTAAGGATTAGGGTTTCTAGTTCCAAGTTTAGGGTTTAGGTTATATGGTTTATGGTTTAAGGTTTAGGGTTCCATGTTTAGGATTTAGGGTCTAGGTTTTTCTTTTAGGGTTAAGGGTTTAGGGTTTAGGATTTAGCGTTTAGAGTTTAGGGTTTAGGGTTTAGGGTTTAGGTTTTAGGGTTTAGGTTTTGGGTTTAGGACTAGTGCTTTTGGGTTAGGGTTTAGGGTTTAGGGTTTATAGTTAAGGGTGTAGGGTTTAGTCTTTAGGGTTTGTGATATTAGGTATAGAGTTTAGGGTTTAAGGTTAAGGTTTTAGGGTTTAGGGTTTTGAGTTGTAGATTTAGGGTTTAGGTTTCAGAATTTAGGATTATGGGTTTAGGGTTTAGAGCTCGGGATTAGGGATTAGAGTTTAGGATTAAGTGTTTAAGGTTTAGGATTTAGGGTTTAGGGTTAAGGGTCTAGGGTTTAAGGTTTAGGATTTACGGTTTAGGATTTAATTTTTAGGGTTAGGGTTGAGGGTTTATTGTTTAGGATTTTGTATTTTGGGTTTAGTGTTATATATTAGTGCATAGAGTTTAGTATTTAGGGTTTAGGGTTTAGGGTTTAGAGTTTAGGATTTAGGGTTTAGGGTTTTTGGTTTAGTGTTTAGTGTTCCAAGTTGAGCATTTAGGGTTGAGAAGTTAGGGTTCAAGGTTAAGGGTTTAGGGTTGCATCTGTAGGGTTTAGGGTTCAGAGTTTAGGACTCAAGATTTTGGGTTAAGGATTTAGGATTAACTTTTAGGGTTTAGGGTTTAGGGATAGTATTTAGGATATAGGGTTTAGTGGCTAGGGTTTAGCATTTAAGGTTGAGGTTTCCAAGTTTAAAATTTAGGATTTAGTGTTTAGGATTTAGAGCTTATCATTTAGGGTTAAGGGTTTTGGGTTTAGCGTTTAGGGTTTAGACTTTAGTGTTTAGGGTCTAAGGTTTAGGGTTTCGAGTTCCAACTTTGGGGTTTAGGTTATATGGTTTAAGGTTTAAGGTTTAGGGTTTCATGTTTAGGGTTTAGGGTCTAGGTTTTTTTTAGGGTTAAGGGTTTAGGATTTAGCGTTTAGATTTTAGGATTTAGGGTTTAGGGTTTACAGTTTAGGGTTTAGAGTTTTGGTTTAGGGTTAAGGATTAATGGTTTAGGGTTAGGGTTTAGGTTTTAGGATTTAGGGTTTAAGGTTTAGGGTTCTGGGTTTAATAGTTAGGGTTTAAGGTTTAGGGTTCCAAGTTTAGTGTTTAGCATCTAGTGTTTCAGTTTAAAGTTTAGGATTAATGATTTAAGGTTAGGGATTAGTGTTTAGGTTTTAGGGTTTAGGGTTTAGAGTTTAGGTTTTAGGTCTTAATGTTTACGTTATAAGGTTTAGGTTTAGGGTTTATGATTAATGGTTTAGGGTTCGGGTTTAGTTTTTAGGATTTAGTATTTAGGGTGCGAATGTTAAGGCTTGGGGTTTAGGGTTAGGTTTAGGGTCTAGGGTTTGGGTTTAGGGTTTAGCGTTTAGCGTTTAGGATGTAGGGTTTAGAGTTTAGGATTTAGGGTTTAGGGCTTAGGGTTAGGGTTTAGGGTTAGGGTTTAGTGTTTAGGGTTTAGGTTTTAGGGTTTTGGGTTTAGGGTTTAGAGTTTAGGATTTAGGGTTTAGGGTTTAGAGTTTAGGATTTAGGGATCCAAGTTTAGGGTTTTGGGCTTAGGATTTGGGGTGTGATTTTCGGGTTTAAAGTTTAGGGTTTTGGGTTAAGGGTTTTAGGGTTTAGGGGTTAGGGGTTAGGAGTTAGGGTTTATGATTTAGGGTTTAGAGTTTAGGATTTAGTGTTTAGGGTTTAGGTTTAGGGTTTAGGATTTAGGGTTTAGGGTTTAGGGCTTCACATTTAGGTTTTAGGTTCAGGTTTGGGGTTTAGGTTTGGAGTTTAGAGTTAGGGTATAAGATTTATGTTTTAGGGTTTATGATTAAGGGTTTAGGGCCTAGGGTTTAGGATTAATGGTTTAGGGTGCGAAGTTTATGGTTTACGGTTTAGGATTTAGTGTTAGAGTTTAAGGTTTCGGGTTAGAGTTTACGATTTAGGGTTTAGTGTTTAGGATTTAGGGCTTAGGGTTTATGTTTTTTTTTTTTTTTTTTTTTCCATTTGAACGAATCTTAGGGGGGTCAGGGGCTTAGCAACACCCCCAGGCCTTAGCATAAATAAAAAGCTCAAATGAGCTCAAAAAAGTACAAGGAGGGGGACATAAACCTAACCTCCGATCCTATGGTGGATCATAAGTCGACATACCTACTAAGGTTAGTCGACTCATTCCCATGCTATAAAGGAGAAACCTAGAACTATGCACCTAAGGAGAGGACTCCTCTCAATACAATGGTTCTAGGAAAACATAAATAAGGGAGACTCTCCCCTTACAATAACCAAAAAACAAAAGAAGCCTAAGCCTATTCAAAAAAACTATAATTATAAACCATAGTTAAAGAGAATATGCTATGCTCATATTCAAGGGGGTTCTTTGATCCTCTTTATTTTCCTTCTTCTGAAGATTGCCATCTCGATCTTGTCTAATTGATAGTAGGCTCTTGCTTCTCTTGGTAGTTGTTGGCTGTTGCTATATATTTGAGGACATGTAAACTTGTGACTTTGTTTTGATAATGAGTCGGCCACAAAATTGGCTTCCCTAAATGTGTGCTTGCATCTAAAAGAGTGTGTTTGTCTGATGAGTTGTTGTAGCTGCTGTAGCTGTGTGTTGATACTCCATGGGGGTTTGGCTTTCTGCATGATCCAGTCCACCAGTAGTTGTGAATCCACTTCTAACTCGACACTCTTGTAGCCTAGTTGAAGTACCCATGTCATGCCAAAAATGGCTGCTCCTATTTCGGCCTGGTTGTTGGTTCCATTTCCAAGCGGGGTCGCAAAAGCTAAGATCATTTCACCATTGTGTTCTCTAGCTATACCTCCTGCACCTATTCTCCCGGGGTTACTTAAAGCACTACCATCTGTATTTAATTTCACCCATTGTTCAGGAGGTCTGCCAATACACCATAAGCACCTTGGTATCATGAAAACATTTCCCTGCCTGTTTGATCAAGTCTGTCCAGTTCGAAGGCCAGCTGATATAGGGGAAGGTGGTAGTCAGGAGCTTGTAGTTGTCCTTGTAAACTGCGTACTTAACTCTAGAGACGTTGGATTGCTTCCCTCCATATTTCCTCGCGCACCTATTCTTCCATACATTCCAGCAGATGAATATTGGAGTAGCTTGGAGGATTAACTTGTGAGCTTCATTGTTGGACTTGGTCGACCACCATCTCATGATTAGATGAATAAGAGGGGTGTGGTCTGTTTGGATTCCAGCATGACGAGCAAAGTACTTCCATACATGTGTTGCAAAGTGACCAGTGTTGAAGATATGATCGATAGTATCCCACCCAGGTCTGTCGCAGCAGAAACAGGCTACTGGTTCATTTCCAAAGCTGGAAATTTTTTCATTAGTAGGCAGCTTCCCTTTTAATGCCCTCTCCATAGTAAAAAGGAGCATTTAAATGGGATGTTTTTATGCCAAATAAAGGCATAAAACTGAGACCTCCTCCTTTTTTCCCTGAGTTCATCCCAGGCAGAAGAACAACTGAAATTTCCATCAGCATTAAGTTTCCACACTGCCTGGTCTGGTATGCCTTGCTGATACTGAATGTGAGTATCTAAGATGTTTGCTATCATGCTGTGTGGGGCCTGCTGTATCAGCAGCTCGAGATTCCATTGGCCCTCAATCAGGAAATCAGCCACTGTGTTGTTGTTGAACCTGCTGCTTTCATCAGAGAAGTGTGCTAGAGGCCCAACTCCTAACCAATTATCCCACCAGAAAGAACAAGTTCCAGAGTTGATTGTCCAATGTATGTGCTTCTCAATCTTTACTTTGTTATGCATTAAATGTCTCCAGGTAGGGGAATCCCCAGTGTCCCATTTCTTGCTGATAGGATTGGATCTCTGACAATATTTTGCTCTCAAGAAGTCACCCCAAAGAGTGTGTTTTGACCTGAAGACCCACCACTGCTTGTATTGAAAAGCCATGCACACATCCTTTAAGTTCCTCATACCAATGCCTCCTTCCTCATTCGGAAAACTCAAGTTCTTCCACGAGGACCAATGATATTTTTTCCTATCATTTTACCATCCCCAGAAGAAATCCGCCATAAGACACTGAATTTTCTTGATAACTGTAGAGGGAGGAGATATAGTAGAAACAAGGTGAATGGGGAGGGATTGTAACACATGCTTGACTAGTGTATTTCTGCCTCCATAGCTCAGGATTTTTGCCTTCCATCCTGTGATCCTATTAACCACATTGTTGATGAGGTCGGAAAAGTAAATAATTCTTGGCCTGCCAATGTACAGGGGGCACCCAAGATAAGTAATAGGACCCTTCTTTTGCTTAAAACCAGTAACACTCTTGATCCTGTCCCTAGTGCTGTTGAATGCATTGGAATGAACCATAAAATGGCTTTTGTCTTTGTTCACTAGTTGTCCAGAGGTCTCTTCATATATGTTCAGAGTATGCATAATTAGTTCAAGAGACTTTTTCCTTCCTGAAGTAAATATGATAATATCATCCGCAAAGCTAAGATGATTAACTTGAGGACCTCTCGTCTCCATAAAGAACCCATGGTAGTTAGGATTGCTGTGAATGTTGTTCAATGATCTAGAAAGGACCTGAGCCCCTAAAATAAATAGGGCAGGTGATAGTGGATCACCTTGCTTTAGGCCTCTAGTAGATTGAAAGAAACCGTACCTTTTTCCATTGACAATAATTGAGTACCAATTATTTGCCATGATCCTCCATACCATGTCAATGAATATCTAGTCAAAGCCCATTTTTCGTAATACTAGGCAGATATAAGACCAAGAGACCCTGTCATAGGCCTTTGCCATATCCAGTTTAATGACCACATTGCTTCTAATATTAGGCTTCTTAATTTGATGGATGATCTCTTGAGCTAACAAGATGTTTTCTGAAATGATCCTCCCCTTGACAAAGCCTGATTGGTTGAGGGAAATCAAGTTTGGTAAGATAGGTCCCAATCTCCGGCTTAAAAGTTTTGAAATAATTTTACTGGTGAAATTGCTTAAGCTGATAGGCCGGAATTCAGAAAGCTTATTAGGATTGCTCACTTTGGGCAGCAAAACAATGCATGAGTGGGAGAAATATTTGGGGATTATCTGCCCACTGAAAAAGGCTAGGATGACTTCTAGCAGGTCGTGTTTGATGATCTGCCAGCATTTCTGGAAAAACCAGCCATTCATGCCATCTGGAACAGCTGCTGAATTCAGTTTCATGGAAAAAACCACCTCTTTTAATTCTTCCAAAGTAGGCCTGGCAGTCAGTGTATCATTGTCCTCTTGATTAATCATTCTAGGGAGGCAATCAAGAGGCCCTGCATTGATGCTCTTATCTTCACCTGTGAAGATTTGTTGAAAGTGATCACAAGCTGCATCTGCAATATTCTCATCACCTTGTAGCCAGTCCCCATCCTCCTTTAGGATTCTGTGTATAAAAAGTCTCCTTCTTCTCCCTCTTATCAATGAGTGGAAGTATTTAGTATTGTTGTCGCCTTCTCTAAACCATTGGAGTTGGGTTTTTTGTTTAAGTATAGAGTCCTTCATCTTTAGAAATCTGATGTATTCTGCATTCAGCTCATGTAGGGCAGATCTGTTCCCCTCTGTATTGTTCTGAATAAAATTTTCCTCAGCAACTTTGACTTTATTTTCATATTCCTTGACATTGGTAAAGATGTCTCCAAATTGTCCCTTGGACCAAGAGCTAAGAGTGCCAGCCAATCTTTTGAATTTCTGGTGGAACCTCCACATACTGTTGCCCTCCAATTCCCTTTCCCAGAATGCTTGAACAATGTCAATGAATGAAACGACCCCAAAAATGCCCGAAATTGTGCTTCGGAAACACCTATAATTGTAATTTCCATATATCTCAAAATCCGTGCATGATTTCGGAAATTCGACTTCATATTCTTATTCAGGGGGTAAAATTGAGTGGGAAATGGGTCTAACCCGAATTTTAGAGCAACCGTATCAAAATTCGAAAATCGCAAAAAATGCGATTTTCAGGGTCAACTTTAAAGAGGCATATCTATTAGCACACAAGGAAATGGAAGGGCCACTACCTATTAAATTAAAGCCTTTCGAGTTATCTTTCCAATGCAGTTGGTTTCACCTCATTCCGAGTTAGGATGAAGGAGTTATGATCATTTTCGTAAAACCTGTCCGGGCAGAATTGCAATTTCCAGAGAGCTACGTTACTGTAGCGGCTGGGACGTTTTTCTTTTATAAAAAAGAGGATTGTCCCATACTTAGTTATATTTCTTTCTAGCTTCAAAACACTCAAAAACACTCACTAATCCGTCTCCAAAATTCCTCCAAGATCTTCAACCAAATTCAAACATCTCAAGTTCTAATTCCAGATTCAAGACTCAATCTCAAGCATCAATTCTCCATTCCAATCTTCATCAAGGATTCTCCAAAGTTTAGGTATGTGGGTTGATTGTGGAAACCTTCCTTTCCACAAGTCCAACCATTTATCCTCTATTTTACTTCAAGTTTATGGGTCCTTATGATCATTTATGAACTCTTGAATTATGGAATTACTACTACGCATTCTATTATGGTCTATTTTTGCATATTATCATGAAATGGAATTATTATGTGATGTTTATGGTTTTCATGCTTCCATGATCAAATTATGAAGGTTGATATATATGTATGTTGTTGGTGGGCTGATTTATATGTATTTCGGAATTGGTTGGACTTAGTACTCTTGAAAGACATGATTTTATCTACATGAACAATAGCCCACCATGTGTTTGATAAAATGCCATTTATAGAATTCATAGGAAATGGAAGGTCCAATGTACATCCTATGAGTCGGATGATTATATAATTATTGAAATGATGATGAAAGGGATACATGTATATGATTTTCTCTATATAAGTGTTGTGAGTCGACCAAGCCTAGCTCGGGGGGTTGTAGGCCCGGGTAACCGTATCAAGGGGTTGGTACCTTGGTTGCCTAGTACGGGGGGTAGTAGGCCCGTATAACCACATCGAGGGGTTTGTACCTTGGTCCCTAGCTCGGGGGGTGGTAGGCCCGGGTAACCACGTTGAGGGGTTTGTACCTCTTTCGCCTCTCCAAGGGAGTGGTAGGCCTTGGAAAATACTATATTGATGGTCACTCACCACACATGTACTACGTCCCACTAAATATGATTTTTATGTAAGCATCATTATACATATCATTTCTCTAATGTGCTATCTATCGGGTATGATTATGCATTTTTCCTATGATGTCCGTCTATTGTAGCGTTGCATTGCATCCCATATACTTAGTACATTCAAACGTACTAATGCATACTCTATGCCTACATGATGTCACCATGTAGGGACCGGAGCATCGCTTGACCATCCTCCTCCGCGTGGCTAATACAATTTCCTATCAAGGTTATTGGTGAGTCCTCCATTCCGGGGACGTTGCTCATGATCTTTTGCTATGTATAAGACTGTTTCTTTTTAGTTATGTTTTGACTATGAGGGTGAGCTCGGTAGTTTGTCTTGGCCCCCGCTAAGTACTCATGTTTAGAGGTGGTGTTGGACAAGTTGTGTATTATGCTTGAGCTTGACTCATCTATGGTATTTATGTATTATTTCTTTTCTTTTTTTTTCTCTTGCTCCCTTAGTCCCGATTTCCCCCTTTGATTATGCTTATTGCTTATGGTCATTTTAATTGCTTCCGCGACCAGGGATGTGTAATGATACGCTATGAGGCTTGTTTGGGGTTCCTTCGGGTTCCCCATTCGCCGGTCACGTCTAGGCCCTAGGCTTGGGTCGTGACAAACTTGGTATCAAAGCACTAGGTTGATAGATTCTCGGAGTCCAACCCACCGCGTTGATTAGAGTCCGATTCATGGTTGTGTTGTGCACCACAACTATGAGTAGGAGGCTATGAGACGTTTTAGGAAATGTTTCCCTTCTCCTTTTTCAAATCGTGCTGTAGAGTTGAATTAAGGTCTTCCCTAACGGTTGTTCTTTGCTATGCTAGATCATGCCTAATACAAGAGGAAGACGAGCCCGAATTGTTGCGTGAGTCATATAAGGTGTCTACTCCTATTGGTGCATATATTGTTGCTAGGAAGGTCTATAGGGATTGTCCTATTTGCATCTTGCATAAAATATTGCCTTGTGATCTTGTTGAGTTGAACATGGTCGATTTTGATGTTGTTCTTGGGATGGATTGGTTGCATGCATACTATGCTTCCATTGATTGTAGAACCCGTAGGGTCAAATTCCAATTTCCAAGTGAACCCATTCTTGAGTGGGAAAGCCAAAATGTGGTAGTCAAGGGTAGGTTCATCTCTTGCATTAAAGCCCGTAAGTTGATCTCTAAGGGGTGTCTCTATCACCTTGTGAGGGTTAAGGATGTGGAGTCCAAAACCCTTCCTATAGAGTCGGTTCCGGTTGTAAATGAATTCCTTAATGTCTTTCCTAATGACCTTCCCGGTGTTCCTCCCGAAAGGGAAATAGATTTTGGCATAGACCTCCTCCCCGATACTCAACCCATTTCTATTCCCCCTTACTGTATGGCCCCGGCGGAGTTAAAGGAGTTGAAGGAACAATTGAAGGACTTGTTGGAGAAGGGTTTTATTAGGCCTAGCCAATCACCATGGGGTGCTCCGGTGTTGTTTGTGAAGAAGAAAGATGGGTCCCTTAGGATGTGTATTGATTACCGGCAACTCAATAGGGTCACCGTCAAGAATAAATATCCTCTTCCTAGGATTGATGACTTGTTCGATCAATTGCAAGGGGCTAGCCATTTCTCTAAGATTGATCTTCGGTCCAGGTATCATCAAGTGAAGGTGAGGGAGTGTGACATTCCCAAGACAGCCTTCCGGACTAGGTATGGACATTATGAATTTGTGGTCATGTCCTTTGGGTTGACCAATGCACCGGCTATCTTCATGGACCTAATGAATAGGGTCTTTAAACCCTACCTTGATTCCTTTGTTGTGGTCTTCATTGATGATATTTTAATGTATTCGCATAGCGAGGAAGAACATATGGGTCACTTGAGAGTTGTGTTGCAAAGATTGAGAGAGGAAAAGTTGTATGCCAAGTATGAAAAATGTGAATTTTGGTTGAAGGAGGTTGCCTTCCTAGGTCATGTGGTGTCGGGGGATGGTATTAAGGTAGACCCTAAGAAGACCGATGTGATTAGAAATTGGCCTAGACCATTGACCCCGTCGGATATTAGGAGCTTCTTGGGCTTAGCGGGTTACTACCGGAGATTTGTGAATGGGTTTTCTTCTATTGCTTCTTCCATGACTAAGTTGACACAAAAGAAGGCTAAGTTTGAGTGGACCGACGAGTGTAAAAGAAGTTTTCAAACCTTGAAAGATAAACTTGTGTCCGCTCCTATATTGTCACTACCGGATGGGCTTGAGGGATTCGTTGTGTATTGTGATGCTTCTAGAGTTGGCTTGGGTTGTGTCCTAATGCAAAATGGTAAGGTGATAGCCTATGCGTCTAGACAACTCAAAGTGCATGAAAAGAACTATCCTACGCATGATCTTGAATTAGCCGCGGTGGTGTTTGCTTTAAAGATTTGGCGTCATTACTTGTATGGGGTATATGTTGATGTGTTCACCGATCATAAGAGCCTTCAATATGTCTTCACCCAAAAAGATCTCAACTTGAGACAATGAAGGTGGCTAGAATTTCTTAAAGATTATGATATGAGTGTGCATTATCATCCCGGTAAAGCTAATGTGGTGGCGGATGCTTTGAGTAGGGTGTCTATGGGTAGCCTAGCTCATGTTGATATTGGTGATAGGGAAATGGCTAGGGAGGTGCATCGGTTGGCTAGGTTGGGGGTTAGGTTGGAAGAGGTTGGTAATGGTGGTGTGGTCGTTGTTGATGGTGCTAGGTCTTCCTTGGTTGATGAGGTGATAGCAAAACAAGATCTTGACTCTTCCTTGTTAGAATTGAAGGCCTTGGTTAAAGAGGGCAAGGTGGAAGTTTTCTCCCAAGGGGGAGATGGTGCCCTTAGGTACCAAGGTAGGTTGTGTGTGCCTTGTGTTGATGGTTTGAGGGAGAAAATTCTTGAGGAGGCTCATAATTCTTCCTACTCCATCCACCCCGGTTCCACCAAAATGTATAGAGATTTGAGGGATGTGTATTGGTGGGGAGGCATGAAGAAAGACATTGCCAAATTCGTCTCCGGTTGTCATAGTTGTCAACAAGTCAAGGCCGAACATCAAAGGCCGGGTGGTCTAACCCAAGACATAGAGATTCCTACTTGGAAGTGGGAAGAAATTAATATGGATTTTGTAGTTGGTTTACCCAAGACTAGAAAAGGTTTTGATTCTATTTGGGTGGTGGTTGATAGGATGACAAAATCGGCTCATTTTCTACCGGTAAAGACAACATATGGGGCGGAAGATTATGCAAGGTTATATATTCATGACTTGGTAAGGTTGCATGGGATTCCTCTATCCATCATATCGGACCGTGGTACTCAATTTACTTCACACTTTTGGAAGTCCTTTCAAAGGGGTCTAGGTACGAGAGTTAAGCTTACTACGGCCTTTCACCCGCAAACGGATGGACAAGCCGAAAGGACTATCCAAACACTTGAGGATATGCTTAGGGCTTGTGTATTGGAGCTTAAGGGTAGTTGGGATGATCATCTTCCATTGATTGAGTTTTCCTATAACAATAGCTATCATTCTAGCATCGGTATGGCTCCTTTTGAGGCTCTCTATGGGAGGCGTTGTAGATCACCGGTTGGGTGGTTTGAGGTTGGTGAGGTGGCCTTGTTAGGACCAGATCTAGTTATGGAGGCTCTTGAGAAGGTTAAGATGATTAGAGAAAGGTTGAAGATGGCCCAAAGTCGCCAAAAGTCCTATGCCAATGTGAGGAGAAGGGCTCTTGAATTCCGAGTTGGTGATTGGGTCTATTTGAAGGTGTCACCCATGAAGGGTGTGGTTCGTTTTGGTAAGAAGGGCAAGTTGAGCCCAAGATACGTGGGTCCTTATAAGGTGATGAGGAGAATTGGCAAGGTAGCTTATGAGTTGGAATTGCCTAGCGAAATGAATTTGGTTCATCCGGTATTTCATGTGTCTATGTTGAGGAAGTGTGTGGGTGATCCAAATGCCATTGTGTCTCTTGATGTTGTGGGTGTTGTTGAAGATAATTTGACCTATGAAGAGGTTCCGGTCCAGATTTTAGATAGACAAGTGAAGAGGTTGAGAAACAAAGATGTGGCTTCCGTTAAAGTCCTTTGGAGAAATCAAAAAGTTGAAAGTGCTACTTGGGAGGCCGAAGCGGACATGCAAAGGCGATATCCTAATCTTTTCCAATCCACTCAAGCCTAAGGTATTAATTTAAGCCCTTTATAAAATCTCAGGTCTTAAGTTCAGCCCCCATGTCATTGCATACATTCATGTTTAAATTGACAAGTTCATTGTGGTTTTACAACTATGTTGAGGTTTTTGAAATAAGATGTAAGTGCATTGTTGCATCCTTATGTGGGCTGATATTGCCATGTTTGTGTCCCTCATGTACGTTTCTTTAACATTCGGGGACGAATGTTCCCAAGGGGGAGATATTGAAACGACCCCAAAAATGCCCGAAATTGTGCTTCGGAAACACCTATAATTGTAATTTCCATATATCTCAAAATCCGTGCATGATTTCAGAAATTCGACTTCATATTCTTATTCAGGGGGTAAAATTGAGTGGGAAATGGGTCTAACCCGAATTTTAGAGCAACTGTATCAAAATTCGAAAATCGCAAAAAATGCGATTTTCAGGGTCAACTTTAAAGAGGCATATCTATTAGCACACAAGGAACTGGAAGGGCCACTACCTATTAAATTAAAGCCTTTCGAGTTATCTTTCCAATGCAGTTGGTTTCACCTCATTCCGAGTTAGGATGAAGGAGTTATGATCATTTTCATAAAACCTGTCCGGGCATAATTGCAATTTCCAGAGAGCTACGTTACTGTAGCGGCTGGGACGTTTTTCTTTTATAAAAAAGAGGATTGTCCCATACTTAGTTATATTTCTTTCTAGCTTCAAAACACTCAAAAACACTCACTAATCCGTCTCCAAAATTCCTCCAAGATCTTCAACCAAATTCAAACATCTCAAGTTCTAATTCCGGATTCAAGACTCAATCTCAAGCATCAATTCTCCATTCCAATCTTCATCAAGGATTCTCCAAAGTTTAGGTATGTGGGTTGATTGTGGAAACCTTCCTTTCCACAAGTCCAACCATTTATCCTCTATTTTACTTCAAGTTTATGGGTCCTTATGATCATTTATGAACTCTTGAATTATGGAATTACTACTACGCATTCTATTATGGTCTATTTTTGCATATTATCATGAAATGGAATTATTATGTGATGTTTATGGTTTTCATGCTTCCATGATCAAATTATGAAGGTTGATATATATGTATGTTGTTGGTGGGCTGATTTATATGTATTTCGGAATTGGTTGGACTTAGTACTCTTGAAAGACATGATTTTATCTACATGAACAATAGCCCACCATGTGTTTGATAAAATTCCATTTATAGAATTCATAGGAAATGGAAGGTCCAATGTACATCCTATGAGTCGGATGATTATATAATTATTGAAATGATGATGAAAGGGATACATGTATATGATTTTCTCTATATAAGTGTTGTGAGTCGACCAAGCCTAGCTCGGGGGGTTGTAGGCCCGGGTAACCGTATCAAGGGGTTGGTACCTTGGTTGCCTAGTACGGGGGGTAGTAGGCCCGTATAACCACATCGAGGGGTTTGTACCTTGGTCCCTAGCTCGGGGGGTGGTAGGCCCGGGTAACCACATTGAGGGGTTTGTACCTCTTTCGCCTCTCCAAGGGAGTGGTAGGCCTTGGAAAATACTATATTGATGGTCACTCACCACACATGTACTACGTCCCACTAAATATGATTTTTATGTAAGCATCATTATACATATCATTTCTCTAATGTGCTATCTATCGGGTATGATTATGCATTTTTCCTATGATGTCCGTCTATTGTAGCGTTGCATTGCATCCCATATACTTAGTACATTCAAACGTACTAATGCATACTCTATGCCTACATGATGTCACCATGTAGGGACCGGAGCATCGCTTGACCATCCTCCTCCGCGTGGCTAATACAATTTCCTATCAAGGTTATTGGTGAGTCCTCCATTCCGGGGACGTTGCTCATGATCTTTTGCTATGTATAAGACTGTTTCTTTTTAGTTATGTTTTGACTATGAGGGTGAGCCCGGTAGTTTGTCTTGGCCCCCGCTAAGTACTCATGTTTAGAGGTGGTGTTGGACAAGTTGTGTATTATGCTTGAGCTTGACTCATCTATGGTATTTATGTATTATTTCTTTTCTTTTTTTTTCTCTTGCTCCCTTAGTCCCGATTTCCCCCTTTGATTATGCTTATTGCTTATGGTCATTTTAATTGCTTCCGCGACCAGGGATGTGTAATGATACGCTATGAGGCTTGTTTGGGGTTCCTTCGGGTTCCCTATTCGCCGGTCACGTCTAGGCCCTTGGCTTGGGTCGTGACAATGAAGTTCGGCTGATCAGTCCAGCAATTCAGGAACTTGAAGTATTTAGTATGATACTCACATCTAGCCTTCATTTCCATCAATAGGGGGCAGTGATCAGATCCCACTGAAGGGAGATGAATGATAGTTGTTTGAGGCATTTTTTCCAGCCAAGAGTCATTTACCATTGCCCTGTCTAATCGTTTCCACACCCTGTTGTATATACCCCTATTGTTAGACCATGTATATTTCTGTGCACTGAAGCCCAGATCCAGCAGCCCACACGCCTCAATTACAGCTATGAACTCTAAACTTTTCCTCATGTTGTAAGGCACCCCTCCTAATTTTTCATCCATAGAAGTGATAACATTATAGTCCCCTACTGCACACCAAGGAGAGTTGGTTGTACCATTGGCATGATGAAGCATTCTGTCCCAGAGAGATCTTCTAAGATGGTCCTTGCATTTGGCGTAAATAAATGTGGTAGTGAATTGAGTTTGCAGCTCATTATGAATAATTTCACAAGTAATTTGTTGTTCATCCTCCTCTACTACTTTGCAATCAACATCTGAGTTCCAAAATAACCATATTTTACCATTGCAATTACTCGTAGCCTGGTCCATAGCAAGTTGTTGTTTAAAGTTCTGAACATGAGTATTGTCTGAGAATGGTTCCATTATAGCTATAATAGAAATATGATGCATCTTCTTGAGCATTTTGAGTCTTTCCATAACACCTTGGGTGTTGATCCCTCTTACATTCCATATGAGTGTACTGATCATTGAGCTGATTTGGAAGTAAAGAGCCTTGTGTTTGGTCTGCCTGCTGTGACAGCAGTGGGGTTCTGCCTTTGTTTGGTCAAGAACTTGTTATAATGTATTCCTCTAGGTGATAGTCCTTGTTGACCTGATACCTGGTGGATTTCCTCTTCCAGATCATTGGCATTATGCGGACTAAAAGCTTTAATCAACAACTCACTAGTCTCATCATCATCCTCCTAATCTTGTAGGGATTGATTATCTATATCTACCTCATCCTCAGAATTCTCCACATCATATTCGTCAATAACTGGCACGTAATTCATCTTACATGCTGTAGTTCTATCCGGAGGATCCTTGTGAGGGGGGGTAAGATATTGAGTTTGTAAAGGAGTGATATCCATACCCTGCATATCATCCACCATAATGAACCTCTGACAGTTGCTGTCCTGATTCTTCTGTTTCTCCTGCTGGTTTTGAGCATTTCCTTGTTGTGCCTGTAATTTTTTCTTAGCTGCTTCCCTCTTCTTTTTACTAGGTTTATTTTTGCTCTTTGGGGTGGTCCCTTGTTTGCTAGTACTAGCTTTGGCCCCCATATCTTTTGCCATAGCTGCCCCACTTGAACTGTGATTCTCCTCTTTGCCTGCCTGTTGCTTGGATTTGTTATTCTCGATTACTTCATTGGCCTAGACATTGTGTTTCTTCTGCCCTGTTTCAGTAATGGTACCCTGTTGTTCATTATTGCGATTTGCATTTACTGTCTGCTGCTGTTGCAGATGTTGTTGTTGTTGTTGCGTGTTGTGTTGTTGAGCAGTAGTGGTTGCAGAGGTTCTAAGGTCTGGACTATGGTCAGTGTGTACCCCCTCATGCAAAACATGAGTCAAATTCCCCCCTTTGGATACCCCGTCCTGCATGTTAGCATGTTTCTCCTGACTTCCCCCATCCATCCCTCCTTCAACTTCATCATTGCATTCAATAGATACATTATTAGGGTGTGTGGGGATTGGGAGCATTGAGTCAATACCTGTGCTCTTGTTGTATTCCTTGTTTCCCTTTTCTAATGCCTGAGTTGCTTGGTGCTGGTCTGTTACAGACCTGTCTTTTACTCCTTGTGTTTGTGTCCTTCCATTTCTGGTAGGCTCCTCCTTGTCTTCATGTTGCACTTCCTGCATGGTCAGATTAGTAAATGAATTATGATTAGAGTTATTCGTTATACCTGCTTGTTGGGTTGTCCTCCTGTTTTGTGGTGAGGTAGGTCTCCACACTGCTTTCTGAGGTTTTTCCTCATGCTGCTTGTTGTTTTTTCTTTTTTGTGTTTGCCATTCTTCATCCTTTTGCTGCACAGTTTGTCTTTGATGTCTAGCTTCTTTGTTGTTTTGGTTTTGCTCCTCTTCAATCTCTTGTGCCTTGGTTTGTTTGTTGTCATTGCTCTTTGGTATTTGTTCACCTTTATTCTTGTCTTTCTTTTCGACTTCCAGCTCCTTCCTTTGCTTATATTCCTCATCCCTTATTTTGAAGTTGCACTCATATATCATGTGTCCTTGATGTTTGCAATATTCACAATAAGGAGGAATACTTTCATATTCAATGGTTTGCCATCTCCCTATGGTAAGATCTGCCTCATCTAGTCCAATCCATACATGTCTAGGTCTAGCTTTAGTTAGGTCAACTTGGACTTTTACCTTAGCCATGCTAGCTCTGGTTCTCTTAATGGAAGCCGTGTCCAGGTACAAGACTTTACCTATAGGAGATAAAAGGGGTGTTATAAACTCCTTTTTAAAGCAGTGCTAAGGTAACCCTGGTAGGAGAATCCATATAGGTACGATGGGTGTTTCTTCCTCAGGTCTGAAGGTTGGAGTCCAGGTCTGTATCCTCATAAGTTTGCCTTCAATAGTCATTCTTTGTTGTGTCCACACAGTGTTGTAATCAAGTTCATTTTCCAAGTCGATAAACACGTGTCTTGCATTGTAGTGAGCTATATTGCCCCCCCTCCCCCGTTAGTTGAGTTTGCATGATGAAACTCTTTCTGATGAGTTCCATTTTAGGAATGGTGCTGCTAAATTTTCCTATCAAAGTGTATCTGCAATCCACAACCAATTTTGTCATAAAATCATCCATATCGTAAATGACAGCCGGAAGTCCTTGTTTGGATGTAATTTTAGGGGGCACCAGATCGATGGGAATTTCTTTTTGGGCTTGATTGTGCCTAAGTTTAGCAGCCATTGTTTGCACTACTGTGTAGGGTGCTGGATCACTCGTTTGGTCTTTTTTGGTATGCTGAATGTTGCCGGGATTGGTCTGATCATTGGATTGATTTGGAGTGTTGATATGCTGACTTTTTTGGGTTTGGGGTACATGTTTCTCAAAATTATTGGAAATTTTAGGGAATGCATTGTGATAGTTACTAGGTACATAACTCCTCCCTTGGTTATACTGCTGGTTTTGCACTAGATTATCAGTTCCTTTGTGCTGGTGTTGGTCCACTTGTTGATGGGTTCTAGTGTCACCCCTTACCTGTTCCTGTTCGATCAGGCTACCTGCCTGTTGCCCCTTTGCATTCATGTGTAATTGATCTTCACTATCACTCAGAGCTACAGCATTGAGAACGAGATTGGATTTAGTGGACTTACCTGATTGAGTTCCCTCCTCACTTGGAGCATTGACCTGCGACTTGGTGATGCTGGCTTGTTGTACCTGCAGGTGATCAGTACTAAGAACAACATTCGAATGGACCTCTTTACCTGGCTTTTTCTGTCCCTCTTTGTTTGGATTTGGATCAGTCATCTTAACTCCAAAAGAGAATTGGGATGAGCCTTCCACATCAATTACTTCAATGGTTTTGTTGCCTGCAGTCACCAGGTGATCCTTTAGAGTTGGCCCTGTTCTTTGCTCTTGTTCTTTGGATTGCACTTCAATGTCCCTTTCCTCTATTACTTGTCCAGATGTTTTTCGACTGGTCGAATCTTCATGATTATGGGACGAGTTCCCTTTTTTGTTAGGTTCATGCTTACTTATTGACTCTGCCATTTCCGGCTGATGAGTGTCTATTTGTTGTGGCTGAATTCCGATCAACTTCACCGGAATTTCCTCTTGGACCTGCATTTGAGTTAAATTAACAGAGATATTAGTAAGGTGCATCTGATGACCATCAGAAAAATTGCCATGAAGAGCATCGTCGTTAATTTTCTTATGTAGCGTTTTTCCACCACCGGAATCATGGTTGCCGGCGATACGAGCATCCATTTCACTCGAAATTTCAGTGAGATGTAGTTCTTCATCTGGGGAGTAGTCCCCAGTGTTCAAACCTCCTCGAATTTGCTGGGAAGATGTTCGAATTTGAAGGCGGCGTTCAGGCGATTTCTCGAAGATTTGCGCAGAATTCACTTCTTCAGTTCTCACGATTAGGACGATAAAATTAGATGATTTTTAGTATATTGTAGCTCTTTACTAGGAGAATCATTCCCCCTAAACACCTTTTCATGAAACACATCGTTATGATCTAAGGGAATATTTTTTCGGATCCCATCTAACTCCCTCTCCGAAATCGCGATATTGATCGCCTCATTGAGACGTAATTTCACAGAGTTGCTGGATGAAGTAGTGGGCGATTGTTGGTGGTTTTGTTCCTCTGATCCATGCGCTCTTGATGAGACTTGTCCGGGGGCCTAAGGAGGTCCTCCGGCGGCTCACGCGCCATTTCCAGCTGGTACAGTAGCCGTTGGAACTGTAGCCGTTATTCAGAAAATTGAGAGAATTCCGCGTAGAGTGAGAAATTAGAGAGAGAAAAAAATAGGGAAATGAGGAAGCGATAGGGTTTATGGTTTAGGGTTCCAAGTTTAGGGTTTAGGGTTTAGGATTTAGAGATTAGGCTTTAGGGTTAGGTGTTTAGGTTTTAGGGTATAGGGTTAAGGGTTTGGATTTAGGATTTAGGGTTTAGTGTTTAGGGCTTAAGGTTTAGGGTTTAGAGTTTAGGATTTAGGGTTTAGGATTTTGGGTTTAGGGTTTAGGTTTTAGGGTTAGGGTTTAGGGTTTAGGGTTTAGGGTTTAGGGTGATGTTTAGGAATTAGGATTTAGTGTTTAGGTTTAGTGATTAGTGTTTAGCATTTAGAGTTTAGGGTTTATGTTTTACAGTTCCGATTTCAGAGTTCATAGTTTAGGGTTTAGGATTTAGGGTTTAGAGTTTAGGGTTTTTGGTTAAGGGTTTAGGGTTAGGCTTTAGTGTTTAAGAATTAGGGTTCCAAGTTTAGGGTTTTTGGTTAAGTGTTTAGGGTTTTGGGTTTCTATTTTTTTTATTATTGTTTTTATTTTATTTTAACGATCCTTGGAGGGGTTAGGGGTTTAGCAACACCCCATGGCCTTCACATAGATAAAATTCAACAAATTACAAGGAGGGAGACTTAAATCTAACCTCCAATCCTATGGTAGTTTAGGAGCCGACTTACCTACTAAGGTTAGTCAAATCTTCCCCATACTAGGAAGGTAAACCTAGAACTAAGCACCTCAAGATAGGACTCCTCTCAGTACAAAAATACTAAGAAAACACAAATAAGGGAGACTCTCCCCATACAAGGAAAGACTTAAAGACATAAGAACCTATTCAAAACAACTATACCTAACTAAGACATAGTCCAGTAGAAAAGTATATTGACAAAAAACATAAGAAAATACAGTCACAGAGGTTTTTTCAACCTTTTCAACTTTTTCCTTCCGAAACTTTGAACTCCCATTCTTTCCAGAATATAACTACCTGTTGTTGCATTTGGCAACTAGTTGTGAGTGTAATAATGTTGAATGATATCCTGTCTATGACTTTGTTTGGAGAGGAAATCTGTTGTATTGTTGGCCTCTTTGTATGTATGAACACATTGGAAGAATTCACATTGATTAACAAGGATTTGGAGCTCTTGTACAAACCTTTGAATCCTCCAAGGGGGAATAGAAATCTGCAATAACCACCTAGTTAAGAGTTCTGAATCCACTTCGAGAATAATGTTGTTGTACCCATATTGGATGCACTAGTTTAGACAATAGGTGGCTGCCTGGACTTCTGCCTGGTTATTGGTCCCTTCACCGAGAGGTATAGCAAATGCATAAATAATATCTCCATGTTCATCTCTCATAACCCCCCCCCCCTCCAATCTTCCCAGGATTGTTCAAGGCACTACCATCAATATTAAGTTTATATCTATTAGGAGGGACTGTTTTCCATATTACTGAAGTGACTTAAACATCATGCTTACAATTTTCAATTTTGTCGACCACTTCTCGCCATTTTAGAGGCTACTGGATGTATGGAAAAATAGAGTACTTGGAATGTACTAAGTATGCGGGGTGCAACACAACAATAGACAAGGACACAATCGAAATACAAGAAATAGTTTCATAGGCATTATGAATAACAATATGAGGATGCATGATCAAAGTGAAGTCAAAACATGTTTAAGTAAATCTATACTAATAGTAGATATCATATGTGCATGCATGATCCAACCAATCTATAACCCCAACTTAGGATGGGGGATGCCGTTCACACCCGGACACCCTGGTGGCAAGGTATAAACCCCTCACATGGTTGATGTTGGTCACACCCCAAGCATCCTAGGTGGTGAGATATAAACCTCTCACATGGTTGATGTTGGTCACACCCCAAGCATCCTAGGTGGTGAGATATAAACCTCTCATATGGTTGTCCGGTTCTTTTCCCCCGGACCGGGCATGGTCATGCAACACTTTATATAGGAAATTCCCATTAGGCTCTAATGCAATCTCACGTATGGAATGAACATATACACAAGCTTAGTTTGTCATCAACACATCTCTGGATTGCCATACATCTCATAACTCAAGCTTTAAAGAATCGATTCATCAATTCTCCTTAGTTGGACATTTTGTCAAACATCTTGAAGGCATGTAATGGAATCAAAGAGCATGGTAAATAGGGTAGTAATTATGCAGCAAACCAGTGAACAACCTACAACAACACCTTTTAACACCCACAATACCACATGAAAATCTCCACATCCATTCCAAATTTAGATTCAAGTTCTAGAGTCACAACATGCTCAAAACAATCACTTTTCATGTTAAAAATTCAATGTGCAGGAAATTATTACAAAGAACAAGACTAATTTATGAATCTTAACTTAAACCATGAATTAGTGAGTAGAATAGAGTCTAGGCACTATGGGTGGAAGGACCCATGAGTTCAACACCACATACCTTGAGTTCTTACGAAGGTCTTGAGAGTGTCTTCAATGGAAGCTTGGAACTTGGAGCAAGAGTCTCTTCAATCTTGAGGAAGGTTTTGGATTAGGGTTCTTGAGAGAACTTGAGAGAAAATGTGTCTAAGTATGGGAGAGGTGTTTTTGGGAAATGTTTTAGAGATGGGAATTGAACTAATGGTATATAGGAAATAACATATGCCCTTTGGAAAAATGGTCCAACAATTAGAAAAAAAATGAGGTGGGTTAACAGTAAAAACGCTCACTGGAAATTGCATTTCCTGCCGGACAGATTTTACGAAAATGGGCATAACTTCTTCGTCCAAACTCTGAATGAGGTGAAACGAAGTGCGTTAGGTAGCTAACTCAAAGGGATTTCCATGAATATGTTATGGGCCACCCAATTATTTGTGTGCTAGGAGAAATTACCCTCCAAAGTAGACCCTCGAAAAAGGCTTCACTTGGAAATT